TGTTGCACAAATGCCACAGACCTTGACTTCTTGGTTTTTGGGATTTAACAGAAAATCTTTTACCAAATAAGTCAAGCTGGCTACTTGACTCTCCAATGATGGAGTGGACTCCGCTGCGGCAACCCTTCGGGTTGAGAACCGCCCATTGTAATATCTAGAATTCTCAGCCAACTCTGAGATAAGTTTCATAGCTTGAGAAGGCGTTTTGTTGATGATCCCCCCTCCACATGCGGCGTTGATCAGCCTATCATCATTGCAAAGACCATCATAAAAGTATAGGATGAGGTCTTGCTCCGAATAGCCGTGGTATGGACAGCTCGAACAAAGTTTCTTGAATCGTTCCCAATATTCGTAGAACGATTCATCATCTTTCTGCTCCACATTGCTGATTCACTTTTTGAGAGATGAGGAGACAAAGGCAGGATAGTACCTTTCGAGGAAAGCTTTCTCCATGGCCGCCCATGTACCTATACTTTCCGAAGGAATATAGAATAGCCAATCTTTTGCGTTATCCTTGAGGGAGAATGGAAAGGCCCTCAGCTTGATCTGCTCCTCGATGACTCCATTTGGGCACATGCTTGTGCAAACAATATGGAATTCCGAGAGATGTTTGTTCGGGTCCTCGCCTCGTAGACCATGGAATGAAGGAAGTAAATGGATGAGCCCCGATTTGAGCTCAAATGTAGCACCTTCATCAAGAGTAGGGAAAGTGATACATAGTGGTTGTTGGTTAAGGTTCAGAGCCGTGAGCTCTCTCAATGTTCTCGTTTCAAGAGCCATAGTGATGGGCTCTTTGGGCTCGCTAGAATGAGAGCTAGCACTTGATGATTCTCCCGAGTCGGTATTTGAGAGTTTGTTTTTCAACCGTTCGAGAGTCCGTTCTATTTCGGGGTTTGTTTGGTAGGTGAGTTGGTTTATGGATCTGGTTTTTACCATATACTCAAACAAAGCTCAGAAAAATAGAAATCTTTAAAAATGTTTTTTTTATTTTTCTTGAAATAAAATAAAAAGAAAAATTAATTGCCTTTCCCCGGCAACGGCGCCAAATTTGACGAGCACTTTGTCACGGTGCGTCAAAATAAATTTAATACTAACACTTATACGTAGTATAGCGTAGTAGAGTTCGTATCCACAGTGAAAGGAATAATTCTCTTTTTATGAAACTAGTAAATAAAAAGGGGGGTTTTGGGATTGAATGATTTAATTTAAATACTAAGATGAACAACCTATATGTGTTTTAATTCAAAGATAAAAGAACTTGGCATTGCTACTTTCCACTTGTTGATATATTTTAGTCGATCATTGTTATATCTATAACTTATTCCCTCTCGAATACTCAATCGAGGAGTAAATCCAATTCATCGAGGGTAGTTATTAACAACGACCGTTCATTAATAACCCTTACTATTAGTCAAGTATAGAACACCACCATATACCGACTTGATAGTAGCATTTAATCTCTTAACTCCTTGATGAAATCAATTGAGATTGATAACCTCAACACAACGGTTTCGGTTTAACCAACAAAATTAATCCCTCTTAAGTTTATTAACCACGACCGTGCATTAATAAACCGAAGTTACTTACTTGTGAAACCATCAACGATTAACCATCAGTTCGTCGATCGTTTCTAGTAATAATTAATATATGAAACAAAACTAGTTGATCCTTTAAGTAATGCTCAAAATATTAATATGAAATATGAATAGGAATTAATTAATATTCAAGGAAGAATATTAAAGAAGATGAATCCTACTATAGTTAATATCAAGATGTTAACTAATTGTCATCTTAGTAACATTCCCCAATATTAACATAGAGGAAGAAATAACTATTACTATAACTAATGTCAAGATGTTAGCTAATTGTCATCTTAGTAACACTCCCCAACATTGATATAGAAATAGTATTTAAAGGAAGAATTAATATTCAAGGAAAGAAGTTAAGAAAATAACTCACAACTTTAATAATCAACAAGCTTCAAGAGCAACACCAAGAATGAAAGTTTAGCTCCTCATTTGGAGACTAAACATAGCTAGAAAAATATAAAGAAATGTTATTCTAAACCCGTTGGAAGCGAACAATTATAACCTAGTCCAGCTCCTACACATGATTCCTATTCATTGTTAACAATAATAACAATAATAGCTAGTAATCAGAATAACAATAACAATTGAATCAATGACATTTAGGCACAAACAATTAAAATTTAACTGAGTATAATGAAAATATTAGATTAATGCATTAGAGGCTGAATACATTAATTATACTTTTTACTTGAGTATTAATTATACATTAATTGAGTTTTTTTTACAAATTAAGTTTTGCTCAATGACACAAACTGCAAAAATACAAAAACAACCCTAATGAATATGTACTATACTTTACTGTCTTCAAGATCATTCTATTTAGGAAAAATTGAAAATAATAATCCCAACTATTGTCGGTCCGCTAACAATAATCCCAACTATTGATTATTTTTGTATAATCCCAACTATTGATTATTTTTGTATAATCCCAACTATATGGACCGTCCGCCTATAATGGTCCATGACCACATATTACATGCTCAATCAAGTGACTTTTTAATAGAAATTAAGCGTAAAAATTAAAATTTGGAATTATTTATGGAGATTACCTACTATATCTCTTTAGAAACTATAGCAATTTATTTATAGTCGGTCACGTCGGACCATTATTGGCGGAAGGTCCCTAAAGTTGGGATTATTCTAAAATAATCGATAGTTGGAATTATTATTAGCGGACCGCCAATAGTTGAGATTATTACAATCAATTTTTCCTTTTATTTATTAGATTGATCATAAATTATGATGTTGATACATAGAATGTAATTATGAAGAATGTTGTAGAGCGGAACCTAACGCATGCAATGATGAGGTGACGAGATGAGGAGATAATGAGATACCGGCTTGGCCAAAGGATTCTCAAGACTTTTCTAGAAATAGTATGATACTTGATTAGAGTTGAATAAATCTCTTATCATATTCTATATGCAAATATGTTTGGAGGGTTTATTCATACTATTGGAAAGGACGCCACATTTTCTCATAGGGATTAGAAGATCAATTGCTTTAGAAGAAATCATTTCAAAGACACCGAATATGCAAGAGTAAAAACACACTTTAGTTTTAACCATGCTTGTCAGTCACATACTAATATTGATGGTTTAGTTCGTGTTCATACCCATGAGTTAATAGTCTCAAGTTTTGATGTTTTAAATAATGAATTGACTTTAAAAGTTGGAACAATATTATGTTGCTACACAATATAGATAATTCAATGAGACTTTGTAATGGGATAAGATGAATTATCAGAAGACTTGGGCATCATGTTAGGGAAGCTAAAATACTATCCAAAATTACTTTAGCTTAAAGAGTGTTGATTTTAAGATTAAAATAAATTCATTTAGACGTGAGATTGTCATTTAAGTTTCAACGAAGATAATTCCGGGAATTAATTCCCAATTGTGATTTCATGTGTTGACAATCAATAAAAGTTAAGGCATGTGACTTTCTCACATCGGATTATTCTTAAAGGAGCCTTAATTTTTGTCATAGTCAACTATATGCCCTCGTGTTACAAATCACTAGCCGAAGATTGAAAATATTGATATGCAATAGTGACTGCACCTAAAATAGTTTCACAATAAATGTGTTGTATGTATCTTGAAGTTTTTCAAAACACATAGTTTCACTTTTTATGATGTAATCAATTTCGTTTTACATTTGTAAACATAACACTACCTACGTCCCACTAACATTGAAACATGAGGATATGACACGATTATTATGAAAAAGTGAGTTTATGTGGTTGATATTGAATTGGTAAAATAAAATAAAATAAGAATGATTTAGAATCATAGAAATTCTACCCAATTTGGTATCAAACAGTTTTAGTAAAATTTCCCAAAAAAAGAGATAATTTTAGCGGGACTTAGGGTATGTTCTTAAAAAAAGCTTCCCGGCTTTTGCCTTAAAAAGCTAAAATTAGTGTTTTCAAGTGACAGCTTCTACTTAAAAAAATGTTTCTCCGCTTTTGTGTGAAAAATGTTTTTATTTTTATTTTTTCTATTACACAAAAAACACTTATTTTACCAAACACTATCAACTTTTACTTTTCAAATTCTTTTTTCTCAAACACTATCAACTTTTACTATTAATCATTTTTTCTAAAATCACTTCAATAAGTATTTTTTAAAACAAAAACATTTGCAAACACTCCCTTATAGAGAGTATCACTTACTATCTCCGTCCTTAAAACTTTGTCAACTTTCCTTTTTTGGATGTCTCACTGACTTTGCCACTTTCCCATTTAAGTAAAGAATTTGTGGTTCCGAATAATTCTCTCTTTTCTGCACAAACCTCAACCACACAATTTTTACTTTATTAATCTTCGTGCCGGTTAAACTTGTCAAAGTTTTAAGGGAAAGAGGGAGTATTATGCGCGTTGTTTTTGTGTTATAGGGGGTGTTTGGATTTGATTCTTAAAACTGCTTCTACTCCTTCAGGGAGCAGAAGCAGAAGTTGGAGTGTTTGGGTAAAAGTGCAGAAGTGATTCTGGTGCTCTAATTTATGGGGTGTTTGGAACCGATTCTGATTCTGCTTCTTTTTTAAAGAAAAAGCAGAATCAGAATCAGTTTTCAGAAGCTGGTCACCCCCAGCTTCTAAAAAAACTGATTCTAGGAGTAAATTAGAGCACCAGAATCACTTCTGCAATTTTACCCAAACACTCCAACTTCTGCTTCTGCTCCCTGAAGGAGCAGAAGCAGTTTTAAGAATCAAATCCAAACACCCCCTTACTCCTAGAATCAGTTTTTTTAGAAGCTGGGGTGACCAGCTTCTGAAAACTGATTCTGATTCTGCTTTTTCTTTAAAAAAGAATCAGAATCAGAATCGGTTCCAAACGCCCATATATCAACATGTATGTATTACACTTTCATGTTAATTCACAGAAGTCATAAATAAACTACAGACATTTTTTTTGCCCTGCATTCCACATTCTAGTATAATGAACATTGCTAAACTGAAATATAATCACTATTTCTCTCTCTTAGAGCAAGAACATAGGGGACTCGCTCTTCCTCAGGCTTTTTGGCAGTTTGGCTTGATCATTTGATCACAATACTGAAAGTGAGCAATCAACCAATATATCATTCTTTCCCACTCTAGAAAATATCCACTAAGCGAGGAATGATGAGGTTTGTGTAGCGTAGATCTGAAGAGTAGGAACCGTGTGGTTGATGGCAATGGCGTACATAGACAAATTGCCGCCAATGGATCTGATGCGTTCGGAGAAGATGACGTCCGTCCAGCTCATAATCCCGGTCGAGTCCGTTCACCGTGCGGTTACTTACCTAGGCCAACTCGGCCTTCTCCAATTCCGTGACGTACGCTCAGATCTTTCTCCCTCTGTTTAAATCTATGTGTGTTTGTCTTTGATTGCATGCGAATGCGCAATTAGAAATTCGTGTTGATGTTAGTGTCTCTGTAGGATTTCGGTACGTATGAAATGAAGATCTCATTTTTTGTTTAGTTTAGGTGATTTTCTGTTTCATTTTAGCTTCTGTTGCATGCATTTCGTGAAGCCATTTGTTCTTTTATGCTTGCGGTAGATCCAGTTTTATGAGGGCCTTAGCTAAGTAAACAACATTGGAGGTTTAGCTGCAGTACTGAAAGAGCTTGCTAGCTATTTTGTCAGCAAAGTTGTGGCTTAACACGACTTGTTGATTTCACTCATCATGCTCTTGGATTGCAGAATGATACATGCCTGGATATTCTTTGAGGTTTATACGAATGATAATATCTAAATTATAGTTGCACGATCTTCATTATAACTTGTGTTTGAGAGGTGCATTCGTTTTTTCAGTGATGGTTTGATCACCTGATATCATATAAGCTGTATCATTATCTGTTAAACCTATCCTCTACGTAGCCTACGGTTTTAGAAATTATTATGGTGGGACAGGTCTCATCAAATAGTTAATGTGAAATACTATGTAATCAAGATGTTATATAAAATCAAAACAGATCATTATTATTATGTCTATTAGGGTAGCACCTCTTTAAAAACTAGCAAATATGTGGAGCATTCAGCAATACAACAATGCATAGGGGTACCTAGTGAACACCCTAGTCTAATTCTAATCATAGATAGTAGTATAACTTCCCTAAATAACAAATACTAATGTATCTCACCACTAATCCTGGGACACACTAATAATGGGATACACTATATCTCCACCACCACTAATCATGAGATGCACTATATCTCCACTACTAATTACAGGATGCATGTGATAATATTCTAGCATTCACCCACAAGCTGAACTGTGTGTATTGTACAATCTGAGCTTGTCAACAAATGTCTCGAATAGTAGTGTACTCGGAGATTTGGTCAGAATGTCTACCACTTGTTGGTTTGTAAGGGTATAAACCACTTCGATTGTATCCTTATCAATCTTCTTCTTTAGGAAATGATGCCTATGTCGATGTGCTTCATTTTGTCATGGTGTATTGGATCATGAGCAATGTTAGTTGGTGCCTGATTATCACAAAGGACTTGAGCAGGCCCAACAACTTCCATATCCAATTTGACAATAGGGTTCTTCAACCACGAGTTCACTCACCCGATGAGATAGAGATCTTAGTTGAACTTCATTGCTGCTTCGAGCTACTACATGCTTTATAGTTCTCCAATTCACAAGATTACTCTGACTCTTCAAATGAAAGTGCAATATCCAGTGGTGGACCTCCTCATATTCTGTTAGTGCTGTGACAGGCCCAATGTGCATCTATAAATACATCTGCTCCACAATGTGAGGTTTTCTTGAAGGAAAGTTACTTCCAGGGGTTGCTTTGAGGTACTTTAGAACTTCCTTTATAGCCTTTAAGTGTTGCTCAGTTGGTGCATGCATAAATTGATTTGCATAGCTGACTGTATGCAATATCTGACCATCGGGGCAATTATGAGCTAGGTATATCATACCACCAACCGGTCTTTGATATCTCCCTCTCTCAACTGGAATGCTATCCTTCTCTACACCCAGTTTGCCATGAGGGTCAATTGGTGTATGAGCGTATCAACTGGTTTGCATCCCAGCATACCTCTAATTTAGCATGTCAAGGGCATATTTACTCTTAAGATGCCAAAATGCCAGCCTCGCTTCTTGCAATTTCTGTTTCCAAAAAATATTTCAATTGACCTAGGTCTTCCATTTCAAACTCAGCTGCTATTCTGGTGTCACATTAGCCTTTTCATCCAGATCAATCCCCTGTAACAATAAAATAATCCACACAAACAATTTATATAGTAATTCTGCTAAACCTTCCAGGAGGAAAGTCCATGTATATTTTTTCTAACTTACTCTGCAGGAAAGTGTTGTTTTACATCCACTTTTGTCAGTTGTCAATCTAGATTTATTGCTAAATACAAAAGAAATCTCGCAGCATCAATTTTAGTTACAAGAGCAAAGGATGCAAAGCAAAAAGGTTTCTTGGCACTGTGGCAGTCAAGTCAACTCCATATGGTTATGTTATCCTCCTGCCACAAAGCTAGCCTTGTGTTTCTCCACTGTCCTATCAGTTCTATACATTAAAGTGTACACCCAACGTCAATCTTTTTCTTTTGACTACTTGCCTGTCTCTACTTTGGGATTAGACTATGCTTGGCTGCCTGCTCTCAAGCAGTCAAGCAATCTTTTTCTAGCATGTCCACACATCCAACGCAACATGTGCATCACAACTACACTCATGTTTTGAGTGTGACATTGTTTCACTGCTCAACACTCTATGCTATACAATAATGATATGTTGCAAGAACCGGACCGGGCGGGTCAACTCAGAACCAGACAACCCAAGCACCAACCCAGTTCGGTAAGCTGTCAACCCGCTAACATATCAGAAACCGGAATTCCGCGATGACCCGTGGTGACCTGGAGCGCAACTGGGACGACCCAAACTCAGAAAATGGGCAAAACTCTGGAATGAAGATAAATCAACGCCTAAGGGATTTGATCCGTGCTGCGTGAGATGAAACCATAGTGTTCATTCCACCAGGCTACTTCGGCAAGTTTGTACTCCCTCCGTCCCAATTTGATAGTCTCATTTCTTTTGGGCACAAGTTTTAATAAAGTGGTTGAAAAAGTAAAAGTTGTGGTTGAGATTTGAGTATAATAAAGTGAAATGATATGGACCACATCTTTCTTTCCAAAAAGGGAAACAAGACCATCATTTTGGGACATCCCAAAAAGGAAATACAGGACTATCATTTTGGGACGGAGGGAGTATATTGTATTCTTTAGCTAGTATTATACGATAAATTTATAATTTGTTTGACTTTACACACTGATCGCTACTTATTAAATATTAATAGGTAATTAGTAATCATAATAATACTAAATAATGTTTTTGTTAGTGAAAGTACTTATATAATATTTTATTTTTTTAATAAGCGCTATATTAATATTTATTGTCCATCTAATTTTAAGTACATTTCATCATTATCATTACCCCAGTGCCGCAAAGGCTCCCACCTACGGTAGGGTAAGGGTTTAAGTACATTTATATTATGTTAAAAATTGTATACTTTAGAAGAATAGTTTTAAATGCACTTTATATTTTGTTAAAATAGTACATTTCATAATAGTTTAAAATACATTTTATATTTTGTTAAAATAGTTGTTGTGTAAGAGAAATCTAAAATTAACGGGGTAAACCGTTGCCCAGATAATCAACGATAAAAATACCGTTGCCCAGAGCCAAAAGGCTTAAACCAATTTTATTCCAAGATACGATAGAATGAACCCTGGCAAGGAGTATAAATAGCCTTCTAAGAGAAACCCTAATCAAGCCCAAATTAATTAAATCCTAATTAAGCCCATAATAACTCTACTAAGTACTCTACTAATAATAGACCCAAAGTAAAACATAGCATTAACTTAATAATAATAAATAAACTCTAATGACAGCCCTAACCCGACCCACGGAAGTGGGCCCAAGCCCGGTCCCGCCCCATGCTCTTCCCGCTCTCTATCAATCCATCCTCCTTCAAAATAACCTTGTCCTCAAGGTTGAAATCCGGAAACCGGCTCACATTTGTCCCCGGGGGTTGCCCAGTATCTTTAGGAAAAATTGAGATGTACTCCTCCCCAGTCCCTGTCTGCTTGCCTCCGGGCAGCCGTTTAAAGTAATTGCCCTTAAACCATGAGTCAAAACGAGCCACCAATGCCTGTGTAAGCTCATCCCATGACATGACCGGCTTTCGTGCCCGTAACCAGGTCAACCAATATAAGGCTGGCCCTTCCATCACAACTACAACGGCTGCCACCTTCTTTCCCGGCGGAGTACAGTTCAATTCGAACTGTTGCTCAGCCCTATCAACCCAGCTGATCAGTTCTTCTCCGTTAAACGAGGGCAACATCGTGAGAAAGGTGCTTCACAGTCCAATTCCGAACGAGGATGCTGCTGCCGCGTCAAGTGAAGCCACCGCCGTTGAATGCTCCTCCACCGCTGGCGGCGTGAGAGCCTTTGTTAACGCAGCCAAGGAGGAAGTGACGCTGCACGGCTGTCTGTCGCTGCTGTGCGCAGATACGGTGGGGTTGCCAACCGTGTCCAGGCTTGTTTCCGTTGTGACCGGAGGAATTAACGCCTTTGTAAGTGCTGCCAGGGATGCGGCAATCTCTGCCAGACGCATGCCGTGCTCCTCTAGGGTTTGATTCATCCGAGTTTGCTTGGCGACCATCTCTGTCAAGCGGTCGATCTGAGATCTCATCATCCTGGCGGGATGGGATTCCGGCAGGTCAGACCAATTGTTGTGTAACAGAAAACTAAAATCAACGGGGTAAACCGTTGCCCAGATAATCAACGATAAAAATACCGTTGCCCAGAGCCAAAAGGCTTGAACCAATTTTATTCCAAGATACGATAGAATGAACCCTGACAAGGGGTGACAAGGGGTATAAATAGCCTTCTAAGAGAAACCCTAATCAAGCCCAAATTAATTAAATCCTAATTAAGCCCATAATAACTCTACTAAGTACTCTACTAATTGTTAGAATATACATATTTAATAGTTAATATATTCTATGTATATATAAGGTAGCTAATATATTCTCTGCGATAGACTAAATATTCTAGGTAAATCTGACAGATTTAGTTTCCTTTTTTGTTCTCTAGCTTGTATGTATTCATACTGGCCATACCTATTGATAATGAAGTGTGATTTCATTGCATCTTTAATCCCTATTACTGAGTTTACATGGTATCAGAGCCACACAGGTTCTTCGGGTAGTACTTCCCGAAGTTCGATCTGCTCCCTCCCTCTGGTTCGGTTCAGCCTTCTTTTGTGCGACGCGGGACGTTGTTCGCAGGCGCAGGCGTGGTAATCCGC